ACCCCTGGTCCCTGCAGCTGCCTGAAGATTAAGGTAGAGAGGAAGCAGGGCCAGACCCCGAGGTGGGATCTTCATCAGTCCTCCTGGTCTGGGTTTAATGGTGTTATGGAAACGTAAGTTCCCTGGAGGATTTGGGGACAGGGTGGGCTTGCAACACCACTGTCAACTTCCTGCCGAGGCCCATTCCTTCTAGAAGCCAAATCCTCCAAGCCCCAAACAGACGGAATCTTTACTCTTTATGAGAAAAAATCATGTATATTAGGTAACATAAATATCTTGGATGTACTAACATGAAAAAATAATATTTCTCTGCATGGACTAAATTTCTTTCTCAGGGCCGTGTTTTCCTACCAGAAGAGACTGGAGAACAATTTGCTGGTTGAGCAGACAAGAGACCTCCCTGACGAGGACGGTGCCTAGGGCAGGGGTGAGGGTGGCCTGAGGGCCCTGGCATTGCTGGCCCATGCTGGGAGGGACTGACTGGGGACCCAGTCTTTTTGGAAAGCCAGGGGTGGGGATGCCTCAGTCCCCACTGCTGGCTATTGAATTGGACATTCTTCAGTGACTGTTGGCTTCTGTCTGGCCTTTGCCTGATGGGGTAGCTACGGCCCTTGGGGGCAACTGCATAAGCAGACATCCCCCTTTGCTGTGGGCAGATGGGAGGCCTGTGGTAGCAGGGAAACCGAGAGGCCGGGCTGCACTCCTCTCTGAGCTGCTTTAACTTGGAGGCACAGCATTTATGGTGGAGAGCCATTTTCTTCTCAAGCATCTCTCCTACGGTTGTCATGAGCTCCTGGGCTTCTGTGATGTTGCTGTCATCACTTGCTGTGGCTTTGACAGATTGTGGACTCTGGGCAGAGGCTAAGGGAGGCCTGCATCTTTTCAGGGATTCTTCCTGGTCTTGGATTTTCTTTTTCTCGGGGAAAAGCCACTGAAGAAAGCGCCTCCAGGTTCTTAGGAAGAAGCCATCCGAAGAAGGATCCTGCTTCGTTTCTTCTGTTCCCCTGACCTGGCTGAGCTTGGAGGTCCCCAGTTCTTCCATTTCTTTCTGCTTCCCTGAGCTGGGCCGCCTCCTGTCCTCACCCTTGTAAGCAGGAGCATACAGCTTGCTGTGGGGCTTCTGCTGGTGTCTGAGAATCCTGGGCTTCGGTGGCACCAGGCTGCTCCTTCTGGCTGCCAAGACATTAACTAGTGTCGGTGCTGGCAACTTCCTAAAAGGCTTGCTCTGGAGAGGAGGCCAACATTCTGGAGAAGCCAAACTGTCTGACGCTGGGACCGTGTTGGTCGAACAGTCTGGAAGGCATACCTCAGGGGCGCAGGCTGGGGGCTGGCTCACTAAACTCATCTCCCCTGTCTGCTGAAACTCGCCAGCATCCTCTGCCTGAAGGCAGGGCTCCCCTAAATACTGGGCAGGGGACGTTCTGGGCAGTACAGGGGCTTTGAGGCTGCTTTTCCCCGTCCCCTGGACAGTCCTGCTCTGCAGGGTTCTGTCCAGGAGGTTGTG